TGATGGAGATAAAGAATTCAAAATAGTTGTCCTGAGGAAGCTCAAAGAACTTCAAGACAACACAGAGAGGGAATTCAGAAGCCTATCAGAGAAATAAAGAGATTGAAATAATAAAATAGTCAAGCAGAAATTCTAGAGCTTAAGAATTTAATTGACAAACTGAGAAATGCATCAGAATTGACCAAGCAGAAGAAAGAATTAGTGTGCCTGAAGACAGGCTATTTGAAAATACCCGATCAGAAGAGAAAGAAAAAAGAATAAATAAGAATAAAGCACACCTACGACATCTAGAAAATAGCTTCAAAAGGGCAAATCTAAGAGTTACTGGCCTTAAAGAAGAGGTAGAGAGATAGATTGGGGTAGAAAATGTATTCAAAGAAATAATAACAGAGAACTTTCCAAACTAAGAGAAAAAATCAATATTCAGGTACAAGAAGGTCATAGAACACCAAGCAGATTTAACCCAAACAAGACTACCTCAAGGTATTTAATAATCAAGTTCCCAAAGGTCATGAATAAAGAAAACGTCCTAAAAGAAGCAAGAAAATAGAAAAAAATAACATATAAAGGAGCTCCAATGTCTGGCAGCAGAATTTAGTGGAAACCTTACAGGCCAGGATAGAGTGGCATGACATATTCAAAATGCTAAAGGAAAAAAACGTTAACAGTAGACTATTATACCCTGCAAAAATATCCTTCAAACATGAAAAAGAAATAAAGACTTTCCCAAACAAAAGCTTAGGGATTTCATCAACATCAGACCTGTCCTACAAGAAACACTAGAAGGAGTTCTTCAGTCTGAAAGAAAAGGACGTTAATAAATAAAAAATCTTCTGAAGGTGTACAACTCACTGGTAACAGTAAGGACACAAATACAGAATACTCTGATGCTTTAATTGCGGTGTATAAACCACTCATATCTTGAGTAGGAAGACTAAAACATAAACCTATCAAAAATAACCACAACTTTTTGACAGATATATATAAAGCCATATAAAAAGATATGGATGGAAACAACAAAAAGTTCAAAAGTGGTGTATGTGGGGGGGTGGAGTTAAAGGGTAGAATTTCTGTTAGATTTCTCTTTGCTTGTTTATGTTTGTTCGTAAGCAGAGTTGTCATATGTTTAAAATAATTGCTTATAAAATGTTTTTTTACAAGCCTCATGGTAACCTCAAATCAAAAAACCTACAACAGATACACAAAAAAATAAAAATCATGAAATTAAAACACACTACCAGAGAAAATCACTTTTAACAAAGTAAGACAGGAAGGAAGGAAGAAGAAACAGAGGACTACAAAACAACCAGAAATCAAATAACAACATGGCAGTAAGTCCTTGCCTATCGATAATAACATCGAATGTGAATGAACTCTCCAATCAAAAGACACAGAGTGGCTGAATGGACAAAAAAACAAGAGCCAACTATATGTTGTCTGCAAGAAACACACTTCACCTATAAAGACACAAATATGGCCAGCCGGGTGCAGTGGCGCACACCTGTAATCCTAGCACTCTGGGAGGCTGAAGTGGGAGGATAGCTTGAGCTCAGGAGTTCAAGACTAGACCAGCCTGAGCAAGAGCAAGACCCCACCTTCAAAAAAAAGAAGACACACTGTAATCCTAGCTCTCTGGGAGGCCAAGGTAGGCAGATTGTTTGAGCTCAGGAGTTCGAAAACAGCTTGAGCAAGAGCAAGACCCC